TTTGAAGACGAATACTCTTGTGTAAGCGTTAATCGACCAATCGCTTTCGATGTGTTCTAAGCTTGTTCGATGTGGCTGATATTGGCGACCTGACAGAGTCGAAATGTTTTCTTATGTATTTTTGTACCGCTGAATGATTGTGTTCAACAAATATAGAGCTTCCGTCAGTAGCTGATTGACTGTTCACTTGCCACCCTCCACCTTGAACGAAAGGTCGTAATATTGGAATACCGCCTGTCGACGAGGAAACGCCATTCGATTTAGATTACCATATCTTTCTTTGAACATTTGCACATGCTGGTAGAAGGCACGGGTTAGGTTTGCAGAAGCGCTTTGGCGAGGTTCTTTTCAAAAGACATAAAGATATCATCATTATATAAATTGTATATAGAAAAAAAAATTTGAAAAATATTGTTTTTTTTAAATCAGATCTTTAATTAAAAAGAAATTTTTTATATGTTTCTTGTAAGTTTATTAAGTATTTCAAGTATAATCGTCAATTTCTCTCATTTTTTTAACAAGTTTTGAAAGTGTTATTGAAGATGTTATTATTATTATAAAATACTTAATATAATTAAATTTCTATATTTTTTTTCATTTTTAACGAATTTATGAAAAGGGACCTCGCTGCTGATTAAGACATTATTTCAATTTTACTTGGCACGATCTTGCGAATCACTTAAAATCCATGGCTTGGGTCCATGGCTAGAATTTCACTGTCACAATAACGTATAGGTAACGGTACACGACACCGTATTATAGAAGCTGCAGCTTTCGTAGTTTGCACATATATTATCTTGCGAACGGAAGAAAAATTGCGGAGTCGTGTTAGGCTAAGTGCATACCGTTACTATTATTGTAATTAAGATTATCCTCACGATTATAATTAATAATTACTATAAATAATATAGATCACATATATATATATATAATATATCGTTATTATATATTTGACAACTATATAAAACTGTTCAAAAAAATGCGTTATCACAAGATGATAATAGACATAATCTTACTTGCAATCAATACATTACGAGGATCGACTGATTGCTTTTATATAGTAGCAAAGTAATATATAGCAAAATTTCAATCATAAAGTTCATCAGAATTTCGAAGAAATTGTGTGTCATGCCATACATTCAAATTTCTATTTGAAGTAAATTTAGACATTTATAATTCATGCGCTTGTCCTCAGGTGTTCCTCCTGGAGGAACAGACACGGATGGAGGACGCCTCGCGATCACCCGATGAAAGATCGTACGTGTTCCTTTTGTACCCTCCTGCCGTAGGCGCTACTCTCAATCCCGATCTCTACATCGTTAGAGTCCAGTTGCGTGCGTTGGTAGTCGGGCTTTTGGTACACCAGATGCTGCTTCATTGTATCGCGAGTGTTCTTCTTCACGGTACCGACCCTTCAATTTCGAGGTTTGTATATAATTATTTCTGGTACTGGTTAGTTCATGATAATATAGCAAATATCACTAGCTTATATTTTAAGCGCTATAATTTCGATTACTTATTAAGAGAGAGATCCACTTAATGGAATTTATAAGTAAAAGTTATCGATAGCTTAACTCGCGTTTTAATAACTTTATAAAAAGGAAGCTTGAAAAAAAAAGAAACGTAAAATTACGTATTGTATTAATTATTCTTACTTGAAAAAAATTTTTTCATAGTTTGTCTCATGTGATTCCACATTCGACGCCATGCAGTTCACCTAATCCTAACGTCAAACGAAGTTACTTGTCTTACTTGAATCCGCATCACGTGGAGATTTTCCTGTCTGCCCTGGACTTCTCGTATGTTGCTGCGTTAAAATTCGATTGTCGACCCGGTCTGAAATTTTTGGTACAAAAGGTGGCAAATCTCGAGCAACCGGCTAATCTGTATCGTCAGGCAGCCGCTGCCTGGACCATTAAAATCATCACGTTGTTTGAGCTATGTTTACGGGAAATAGAGGAGCTCCACGCAACTATGGAATTAGTGAAGACCATTCTGGGCACAGGATTAAGCGACAGAGAGTGCGTCTATGACATCAAGCATCGCAAGCTTAATAAGTATTTACGGCAATTGCGTACGGTTTTCGACGAGCTTTGCGAGACTTATGTCGAAGTGGTTCTCGACGAAAATGGCAAATATACCAGAATCGACAGTTTCGCAGAACGGAAGATATTCCTGCTGGTGGCACAACCCGATGATTTTCCCGAGATTACTAGAAAAGAGCCCATAGATGACCGACTTGTCACCAGTACTCCGGCCCCCGTTGACCAATTGGAAAAGGAAGAACCTGGCGTCCATCAAGATCAACCGGACGGTGACGAGGAAGACGACCAGGATGATCCAGATGACGTATATAATCCAAATTTAGACGACGAGAGCGGTTTAGAAGAGCTTGGAGCCGAGAGTGAAAATGATCCAAGACCCTTCAGATTGTCGGATTTAGCCGCGGAATATTCGACTGATTCCGGCCCGCAATCAGAACCAGAAACCGATGATTCCAGACCAGTGTCCAGGCTCGGATCGGTCACAGAGAAGATTGTTTATCTCGACCGTTCCGGCGGAACCTCCAGTGAAGGTTATATCGATGCCAAGTACAGCGCCGTGACCCCGGCGCCTCCCAAAATGATGTACAGCCGCGATTATCTCTCTTATAATCTAGATTCACGCTGGAAAACAACGGAGTCAATTTCTATGAGAACTTCTGTGGCGGATATGAAAGCGTTAAATCGAAATTCGTTCTCCGACGAAGGCCTTTTATATAAAAAAATATATTCGGAACGGCGTGGTAGTGACGTAGGTCCATTATCCAGACAAAAATCCTTGACATTTGTTATGACGGCGGATGTGGAAGATGTAGACAAGTCTTTGTTGGTCGATTCCGTAGATTCTCGATCAAAATCGGTGATGGAACTGCACAGCGCATCCACGTGGACGATGTCTAAAGATTCTTTGAACGAATCTCGCAAGCCAGAAAAGGATATCAAAGAAGAAGGCAAAAAAAATTCTAAATCTGCACAGATCCTTGACAATATAGACGAATTACTGCGCGATTACGAACGTAGCAAGCGTGGCTTCAGAACGAATCCCTTTTTACGAGACGAAGAAGAAATATCTCCGATTGAAAGCCAGTCGATCGCCAATCAGGAAGTGCAAATTCACAAGCGAAACGTCAATAAAGACAGCGAGGCTCACAGGAAAGCTTGGGCAGACACTTTGGTCATTGCGTTGGAATGGGCGTTAGCTTTACCAGTGAGTTTTTCCATCTTTCTCTACACATATATATACTGTATAATTTTTTTACAATATATTATAAATAAAGTTTTAATATCAGAATTGTATATAAGCACTTGTTTAGATAAATAATGTATTTCGTAAATGAAAATTGTTTTGAATTTATAAATAATAATTATATAGTTTCGTGGTGAGTTATTTTTATATACGAATCTTGGGGGATTTTTTTACAGGATGAACGATTGGCACCGTTGCTTCCGGTTTTCGTACGAGGCGTGCGAATACTGACAAGGCACGCCGTAGATCAGAGCCTGAAGCAACGTCTCTCAGCCCTCTTTCATCGTATCGCTGTGCTTTATGGATTGACAAATAATTAATAGCGATCGAGTTTAGGTACACGCGCGATCGCAGCCTTAGTTGTAAGACTTTTGAAGAGACGAAAAAAGAAAAATTAATGTTCTCGACTTCTTTTTCAAATTTTTTATTGTTACTGTGATAGATACGCGAAGTCGAAAGAAGAAATAGGAAGAAGATATAGGATCTGCCTAGTTTTTTTTTTTTTTTTTTACAATTCTTAGTTACAATTAAAATTTGCCAATAAATTTGCCAATGAACAAGTAAATTAAATTAAAAAAAAAAAAGAATAAAACGTGTTTCCGTTTTCGTGTGGATCACTATTTTTTCCGTATATGCCAACGCGTCAACACGTTGAAGACAAGGATTTTATTTACGATCCATTCCACATGCACATCTCGATTCTCATTTTATGCTCTTTGCGCTTAACTGTAGTTTGCGGTCCGGTCATAGTGCCGGGTAGTATCGGATTTTTGCTTCCAACGTAAAGCTTGAAAACACGGGCGAGTTGGGACAGGCGGGAGATGTCTCACACGGCGCAGATGATATTGGCAATATTCTTTATTCATTAAGATAATCTCCAAGAGTGATACTTTCATTTTTCATGCAGTTTTCTTTAAGCTAGTGTAAGTAGCAATTTTTTTAGAAGAGAAGAAATAAAGCGAAAATTTTGACTTTAAAAAAAGATTAAATATATGCTTGTAATGAGTATTATATTTTATTGTATAATGTAATATTCTTGAAATGAGTCTAATTAGGATAGTAATAATATATTTTATATTATGTGTTCCATAATCGTAGTTAATATTATTTATTAATCTATTTTGGTTTTATAGTTGACGTAAAGATTATAATTGAATGTTGATGTATATATCAAATATTATCGATGTTTCTCTACGTATGGTATATTCCATAAATGTTGTAAATGTTGTTGAACATCAGATGGTTTAAATGGAAGGATTAATAACTGATAATAAAATGTGCCTATATATACATATATGTACATATATGTATTCCCCGTTTATTCCCAAAATACATTTAGATAGTACGAAAAATGGAGTGATTGGAGGTAACGAGGAATTTAACGAGGAATTGTTATGAATCTCAATGCAGCCAAAATGCATCCTCTTGAGATATACAGTACGAAAAATACGTATCTCTAAGAAGATGTATAAATGTTGAAAATAAATAAATTCTTTAATATCTGAGCAGCATTCTAGACTGTTGCGCGTTTTGTTTAAAAGTAAGCTTTTAATATTTTTTATATTTGATGTAGGTAGTTTCACCTCCTTTATCGTTGAGTTTGTTTTATTGAAGTTGAATGTTCTCGGACAATATTTTATTCAGGATTTAAAGACTGTTTCAATCGAGGCTCGCGAGTACCGCGCGATTTATTTCCATCGGCCATGCTCGGCTGGTACCAAAGATGTCGACCATTTCCTGCGGGACGAAACGTATTTCAGTTCATTTTAACGGATGTAGAAAAGGGCGGGAGAGTCTCTCGTCTGCGGTCGAGTCATCCTCGTAAAGAGAGAAGCTTACGAGCGACGGCCGCCTCGACTTATTCCGTGGTTTTATTCGTGGCGTCCCATTCGCAAGACGCGCCGAGGCTGTAAACATCCCGGCAAGAAAAGTGGGAGAAGAGAGTGAAGAGATCTCCTTCCGAAGTGCGAAGTCGTCGAAGCAGGAAAAATTGTTCGTCCACCCTTTCGCAGCCATTATTCGCAATTTCAATCGTAACGGTATATTTTGTCTTTCAAAAAAAAAAAAAAGATATGCACGGGAAATCAATAATTAACTTACGCACTCTTTTTAAGAATGTTTTTTTTTTTATTTTTCAATGAACGCAAAAAAGCTGTGAAATATTTGCAAAGATTTACTTAGTAAATTAATAATTATCTACAAACAGTAGTTACTTCTAATTAATTTTAATGAGACAATTGAAACGTTTCTTTTTGTTTTAGATTGTCTTTTTTGGATATTTTAAGTAGAGGTTTTGTAATTATTTATCGAAACAAGTAATTAGTGATTATACTAGAAAAGAAGAAAGATTATCTATAATTAGGAAGTAGATGTTGGTATGTCCAGTTTCTCATTATACTTTGATTCTAATTACTTATAAAGATTACTTCGTCGTCGTATATATATATATATATATATATATATATATATATATATATTGTCAAATGGCAAAATCATCCGAGATGCTTACTAAGATCTTAATTACGTAGTAATTTTTATTCCAAGGTATGTTTCAGACAATCTTCTGTTATTTTCTATTATCTTCTATCAAATACAACGGTACATCTTCGTGGCACATTGACTACCGATTTCTGATTTAAGATCTTTTTATATTGCATGTAAAGTTTAATAAATTAAAAAAAAAATAGCTGAATAAAACTAAAAATTAAATAAAAATAAATTATTCTATCCCATTTCACATTTGATCCATGCGAAAGTATAATTAAAAAAAATTAATTACGAATTAGTTGCGATAATTGCGATCTGCGATTTTTATGGATAAATAAATTAACTAATAGTGAAGAAGAAGAGCTACGGTTTAATTTGGGTGAGGCAAGTTTAAAGATTTAGCTGACACGAAGCAGCATGGGGTGATTCTCTAAAGGGACGCAAGAACGGCGAACCGACGATGTCGCGACCAGCCAGACCGCAACTATCCATCCGTTCGTCATTTCCAACGTGCTTTAAATATTAAATAGAGCTTGCTGCGCTCGTAAAAAGGGTTATCTGTTCCCCCATGATGAAAGAGACAACTGCGTTGTTATAGTCCGCTCTCATACCGAGTTTTTTCCCCGCCACATTTGTGCGTGAAGATATTATTGCGCCCAGAATTATCACCGAAGGTAATTTTAAATTTGTGAAAGAGCTTAAAAAAGTTTTATTTACACAATATGGATATAAAACAAGGAGAATAATTTAAAATGTATCCGACTATATTTGATATTTATATTGAGACTACTTTTTCGCGAGAGAGAAAGGGTTTAGGAATCCATTGGGCAAGGTTTTATTTCATTTCTGAAAATATGTGTATATTTACAACGTTACAAGGTTTGACTAATTTTTTTTTTTCGATCGAGAATCAAAATTCGATATTCTTGCGATCCGGTTTCTCACTTTTAAGAAACGAGCACGTAACGATGAAGACTCTTCGCTTCAGTGCTCACAATAATTTCTCAATTATCGATCAAGTTTCATCATTAGTTTCGTTTAATGAGATCTCCTACTATTCGCTGATTTTTATAAGATAAAGAGTTTTCTCGGTCACTTTGTCCCACGCGCGTAAGTTAATATTCTTCACTTTCACATGCAGTCGCCGCAAAGATATCGTTCAGCAATTGAATTTTTTGCAGACGCGACAAATTCGCGTATCTGCAGATAGTTCGAAGAATATTTAACACAGCAACGTCGTCCTGCACACGAGTCTTCCTTTCAAAAAATACTGGGTGTCGGTGTCCTATTATCACTGCACTCACTAATTAGAGCATTAAATTAGAAATTACACTGCCACACTCGCGGGAAGTTCGCGCATTGTAATTCGCACGCGCCATATGCCGCACCAAGAGTCATGTCAGTTTTTTATCGGCAAGAGATCTCCTCTTTTTAGTACGGTCTCCATACGTCGTTTCTCTGCTCGCTCTCCTCGCCGAGCACGCCGATCTCCCGAATGCTGCTGATGGTGAGATTGCCACCGGCTATGGTGACCTGTTCCTCGCTCAGGTCACCATGCAGATGCAGATGAATCTGGTTTTGATTGACAGTGCTGTAGAGCTGAGGATAGAGGACCATCGGCGCCGGACCCGTGATGTAGTTCTGCCCGGGATTGTTGTAGTAGCCTTGATAATTGGGATTGTAATTGTGGGAAGCCACCGGGACCGGGGTCGCCGGGCCAGGTGTCCAGGAACTGTAATGGTAACCCGGGCTGCCCGCACTGCCCGTGCCACCGCCGGCAAAGATGTCAGGGTCGCTGGGTCTGGTCGGCACCAAGGGCAAGGATGTGGTCGGCGAGGTGCCGTGTCCCGAGTACATGGACACGCAATTCGGCGTGTAGGTGTCCTGTTGGGTGTCCGAAGGAAGCACTGTGAAGCAGAAAACGATGTCGTTCTGATTCGCAAGTTGTACGACAATCAAAGTTGCGAGGTCTCTTCCAGAGAGAGAGAGAGAGAGAAAGAGAGAGAAAGAAAAATTTATAACGAACAAATTGCACGAATAGCACGAGTCGTAAAAAATTTCGTGACATATTTTTGGAAGAGTGCTACAATCTGCTGTAATTCCGTGATCAATTTTCAGTTTCTTCCTCGGCAATCTTCAGTTTTATTAAGTGGACGATCGTTTCTGATTTGATTGAAATTATTATTATTATTATTATTAACAATAGAGTGATTTATGTCCGGTGAGTTTCTATAAATCTGAAAGATCAATTGTAATACATATAGTATTTCTAAGACAGACACACATGAGACGCCTTCTAGATAATGTATTACGAAACTTTTTCCTAGAACGAGTCATGCGTCAGAATGTTATTAAATCGTCGTAGGTATTTCTTAATTAGCAGTACGTCGGCGAATCACGTCGCCGGATCAATTGGATCGATCATAAATCAATTCAGGTTTTTTTTTTTTTTAATTGTCCATATATTAATTGACCATACCTGTTGGCAACGGCACCGGCTCCGTCGTTGGATGATGCGACAGCGATTCCCCCGGGTATGAAAATGCACCGCCGGGTAAAGGAGAATAGGAACCGCTGCTGCTGACTGGAGGAGCTGGATAAGATGGTGTTGTGGATGGATAAGTCCATTCTGTGGTACCCACACCCGTGTCTACAACAGAAAATATCATCTCTCTTCGAGATTATTTCGTAAATTAAAAAAAAACCTTAAAATTTATATTTATTTATGTTTATTAAAACTTTAATATTGAATATTACGTAGAACATTACGTAGAATATGATTTCTTTTTTTTTTTAAATTATTTCATAAATTTAAAAACTAGAAAAAGATGTTCATGTTTATTAAACTTTAATTACATATTACATATAGAATGTTATATTGTTATACCGTAGAAAAGTAAATTCTGCAAATGTAAATCATTAGAAGGCAAAAGAGTGAACGATCTTGTGGCCATATATTGTAAAGTGTGTGCTTCTTAAAATGCGCAGCAAATCGGTATGAGTCGGTAAACGGAGCTTCGAGTGAGTAAGAAGATAGGCAGATTAATTGGCATGAGTCACGAGTCGAGGTAAGCGGAGTCGACGGAAGCTTAAACGATCGGCTGGAAATGAATCGTGCGCGGTCGCAACGAGATCGAGATCATTGGGTAAAAAATGACGATTGCGTAATGGTGTCGCGCGCTGGTAAAAGTGCGAATCCCAATGTACGAGCTAATGATCCATGACTATCGAGTCGTATCTTTCTCCCGGATCCTCTTGCATAAGTTGATTTCTTCATCGCACGATCGCAAGTATGACAATATTCTTGCGCATTCTAATCACTTAGGCGGAAATCATTTTACCGTATCAAGTTTTATAATTGCAATCTCACAGTTTACCTTCTCTTTCCGAAGAGCTCGCTTCCACGAAAGAATCTCAAATCGCTGTTCCTCGCATCGGCAGATTCTATATTTATTGAAAGTGTTAGCACTCATCATTTCCTTTATTATATTAATTATCTGGAATCTACATCGTAAATATCGGGATTTTTAAAGCATCATTCGCATTCCGATTATTCCGTGTAAAATCATTCGTAACATAAAGAAAGATAGAGAAAAAGAGATGATAATGCGGTGAATCATGGGCGATTCGGAGAAATTTTTCGGTGTCATTGTCCCATATATGTCTGAAACGATGAAAGATTTCGTTTAATTAAAATGTATGCACATATCGTTCACATATCGTCCAATTTTATTTCAGATAAAAAGATATTGCAAAATCTGCCAAAATTCTTTTATAGAAACGTTCTGTTTCAAGTCGAATTTATTTAATCTAATATTATATAAATTTATACAACTTATTTATTTTTATAAATTGTAAATTTGTATGATCTGTATTTCATACATTTTCAATACTATATTAATTTATGATAATTAACCTAATCAATATTTACATTTTTATACTTTATTTTTAAAAAATTATTAATTTATCTATATGATTAGTTATCTCCTTTATTCGAAATTAGCCAATAATAGCATATAATTAAGTTTTAAAAACTGCCAATCTCTTTTAAAGCTTCAAAATATAATAAATTTTCAGAGAATTGTCAAAGGAAGAATAGTAATAATAGCAATAAATTTTCGGAAATTTTTAAATCCAAATGTCAAATGTTTCCAGTAAAAAAATTTCAAATTTCTATTTGTCGAGATTATTACTTGAGTAGATAAATTTCGAAATGAATTTGTATGGCGGAAGTTTTAATAAAATCTTTATCAACAACATATTTTCAAATGATAATTATATCCCATTGCCACGAAACATTTTATTTCTCAGCTTTAAGGAAAGTTAACACGAAACTCATCGGAATTACCTCTTTTGCGTGCGAACGTTTACGTGTGGGGAATACCTCTGTTTTCTTACATGTAAAATATATATGTAAAATAGCATTCTCGCGAATTCGTCAGTCCTTTACAGATTTTCCCCTATTTAGCAATATTAACTGGAATTTACTGTTATCAGTTATATCGTGTGCGTAACGATCAACTGACTTTTTCCCTGCTGATTCTTTTTTTACAAACAGCTGTTCTATTTGCAGATGGTATGTGCGAAGTAATTCACGAGTGACCGTTAGTGTGACACGCGTGACTGGTACGAGTAATCCAGCTTCAAATGGCGTACAAATCGGTCAAGTTCGATCTGTCGTGAGGTAAAGTCGAGGCTGGTACCAATCCGTTCGCGGGCAAAACTGTCGTTACGCCTACTAAGCGGAAGGTCGAGGTCGTTTCGAAATTCTCAAAGGGGCACCGCCGTGCGGGACGATCGGGTAGGGTGCAGAAGGCGTTTTCGGGGATGATTACCGAAAATGGCCGTGTATTTGCCGCAATTACCGGAACAACGGTAACAAAACAAAGGCACTAACACAACACTCCGCTCGGATCGGTGTGTCGGCAGGACCATCTGTTGGATAATAGTCCGTTTCTCCCGAATGATTCTCTATGAGCGGATGAGCGAGAAAAGGAAAATAACGATCCTAGTCCATTCAGAACGAAGGATCGTTTTTTTTACTCTCCTCCTCGTCTTCTTCCACTTCTTTTCCCCCTTTTTTCCCTTAACAATGCTTTATTAGCGCTTTATTGACCATACGTTCCCAATTTTTTTAGGAATATTTCCGATTTTGTTGTTCCAATTAGAGTGTGTCGTCCTATTTTACAATGCGTTTAACTATTTTTCTCGTCGAATTCATTCGTCATATTCCTGCTTGATAATTTGTCTTTACAATATAAAAATGCAAAATGCCGTAGTAGAACTACTTGACTCGGTATATTAAGCGATAAATAATTAAAATGTAAATTATCTCTACACCATTTACATTTTTAGCGTCGTCTTGTGCACAATTGTGTAAAATCCCCTTTTTTATCCGCGTGCAATCATGCGATGATTTAGTTTCGAAATAACGAATTGCCAGCAACGTAAAATCCGATCTGTCAAAGTGAGAGCAAGCGGATTTTCCCTCCGGATTTGCCCGATTAATAATTTAACGATCGAAGTCACGCCGTTCTATTTCGCTCGTCGTCATCGTCATCATCAATTCGATATTCATCGCACAGCTGACCACTGTCGTCACGCTAACGCTCGCTCGTTGTCGTCAATGACCGTTTCTCAAGAGGCGTCTTCTTCTCGCTCTTCTTCGTCAAGAATCGCAGCACCGCAACCTCGTCGTCGTCGATCTCAGCCGAAAGAACGTACGACCAAAGGAACTCTGAGTTGTTTACTGCTGCCCTCTTTCT